AGGTTAACGTGCGTCACTTCAAGAAATCCTTCTTCTCAATGATAGAAAACACCATTTTCCATTCTGTGATCTGTCAAGTGTGTCAGCAGAAGTCTGTTCTCCCTGGTCTGGCTATATACCGAGTTGAAAAAGCCAGAAATAGCTGGTGCTCCATCAAAATTTCTTGACTAAAGCTCATTTTTCTGTAGACTGCAAAGCATCCTGCTGTTTTCTTCGAAGATTTCACAGCTTTTGGTCATAGTTGAATCCAACCTGTGAGCAATTATGCAAATTCACCCTGAAAAATTATTTTTCTGAGCACAGGGGGGTCAGGTATTTGAAAAGGTACCTGAATTCCTTGGCAAGTCTAGGTTGTAAGTAAAAAGGGCAGATGTGTTGGTAACTACCATGATAAACAGAAGTAAGTATTTATCTGGAAAGGAGAAAAGAGAAGTGCTGAAGTGTTTTTAATTCGTGTCTACCCTTTTAGCATGAATCATAGCTGGCAATCAGGAGGTGATCACCTGTGCCCTGAGCTGAGAAGGATGGAAGCTATAGCATTGGAAGCTGATACCTGGAAATCAGACCTTAAAAACTGCTAGGAAAAAGAAGCATAAGATAATTAATTATATATTACAAGCTAGATTCAAGGCAGCTAGAGACAGCTTCTTGAAAATTATCTGAAGTTGTTAGTCCTTGCCAATCGTGTCATAGTTTGAATTTATTCATTAAGAACCTGCCTTTTATTTACATTTTAAACAAGCTTGATATTGGCAACGTGCTCCACATTTATTTGCCTTTTGTGTGGCTTTTCGTGCCAGGAATACAAGGCGTTGTGGAGGCTTATCAGAGCTGCCTTCCCAAGCTGCAGCTGTATGGGCCAACAAACATTGCTCCCATCATCCAGAAGGTGGCAAAATCAGCATCAGAGGAGACCAACACCAAGGAGGCCTCGGTAAGGGCATAATGCTGTGTTTGGCTTTTTTCTTGCCTTATGATGGATCTCTTGTAGGCCATCAAAACAAGGCCTTTTCATGCATGTGAGTCCTGCCTTCAGAGTTTTCACTAACTTCCCTTCACAGAAGGTAGCTTGAGTCTGTGTCAGCTGGAGCAAGCCCTTATAGCTTCAACAGTCACAGCTTTAAGCTCTTCCCCACTGTTCTGTTTCCTGCTTTTAGAGCTGATCTACTCTAACACACCCAGTTCTTCAGTGTGGAAACGTAAATAGCATGAAAAAGTTTACAAAAATTTAGGGGCCAAGGCCTGAAAGGGAAAGGTCATAAAAGGAGATGAGTTCAACTGATTCCTTGCAGAGACTACCCAATTTCAAGTCTCTTGCAGAAGCTGCACTAACAGGTTTCTGTTCAACTAGGGGATTTTTACAACAATTCCTTTGAAAACTACAGTGATAGAGTTTTCAATTTGCTACTACTGACATGGAGTATTACTTGACTTTTAGAAACGAGGAGGCAAGTCTGTTAGCCTGCACCTGATACAAAACCCATTAGGTTCTTGGGTTAAAAGGCTTAAGTGTCAATGGTGTTTTAAATGTACATCTTTGAAATGGATTCAGCTTATTTCTCTCCTTCCAAACAGAATGGGAGAAAGGAATTATGAGAGAATTGGTGAAAATATGTGAGCAAGTAGTTTTGAAGCATTTACAAGGGCAGTGTTGTTGGAGTGAAAGATGTAAACGGGGACCTGTACACTGAAGAAAGAAAAATGCCTACGTATAGGAGCAGAATAGAGCTGTACATTGGCATGCATCTCATCACCAGGCCTGGAACTTTCTCTAAGTTTTCTTCATGTGATGAACCTTTTCTTTAAGTGCTTTAAGGCAGCAGTGCCCAAACATTTCTGTCCATGAATCTGGCCTTCTGATTGTCAGTCCACTGATGTTTCCAAGATCTGGATACTCCAGTTCCAGTCCTAAAATGAGGAATTGCTATGTTTGAATTTCGATAGCCACCTAACCCTGAAGTGGCTCATTCTGTTCCCAGTGCTGCCTCTGAACTAGTATGTCATATTGAATAAGTCGCTTCATTCCTCTAAACATAAGCTTCCCCTCTTTCTGTTTGAAAAATAAATTGATTTATAGCATGAGTCTTCAAGACAAAGTTTTCTGCCTGCATGTTTTGTTTTATTCATGGCAGGAGGTGATGGACAGAATTCTGTGTGAGTTTATATAGCTGTGTGTACGTAAACTTTAATGATGTTTTGTGTGTTGGTATTGCTTGTGCAGAATGACCAAGTTCTATGATCTGTTGATTTTTCTTCTTAATGCACGTTTGTTAAATGACTCCAGATGCCTAAAAATTCAGAAAGGATCCATGTGAGAGTCACTCTTCTCCATTACCAAGAGATGTCATAGCCCATGATCTCAGTCCAGTCGGCTTTAGAGTTTTGGGAGAGACATGACAAAATTGCTTGCTCTCCTTTAGAGAATGAGAAAACCTTCAGGGGTCTGTATGAAGTGTTTGAAAATGGACATATTCCTCGCTGCACATGCCCTTGCTCTCCTCCCCATTACTCTGCAGAACGCAGTCGGACCTGCCATGGTGCAGTTCTTCTCCCACAGGCACCAGTGGATCACCCTCCATTTTGCAGATGGCTGCACCCATCCCACTTGCCTGTTAGCAAGGCTCCTCTGCAAAGTGCTGTCATAACCTCCTTGACAGCTCTGCTACAGGCTTGTAATGCCTCAGTGCCCCATTCCCCGCCTCCCACTGGTTCCCAAAGGGGAAAAAAAAGTAATCAGAAACTGTCAGCAGGAGTTATTGTGCAGCAGATGGAAAATAGGGTTAGTGAGGATCTCAAGACTATTCCAGACTTCCCAGCCAAAGTCCTGACTGTCCCAGTCCTAGCAGCTAGAAACCCTCTTTTCTACAGTGGGAATACCTTGGCTCTTTCCAGCTCCTGGAAATTACCTGAACTAGAGCTAAACTCCAGAAAAGGGGAAATTAGTAGCTGAGGACATTTGGATAGGAAATGTGCTTAACCTTTGAGTCACTATAGAGGCTCTTTTCTATTTAAAAAACCCCACAGGTGAGTTACGAGAAACACTTTGATACTGGAAAAGGGCAAGCAGTTTTGGAAGATGAACTAATGATGTGTTTTTTTCACTTCTTGTCCAACAACTTCAGCAATATTTCATCTTGCTGATTCTGACGGATGGCGTCATCACAGACATGGCTGACACCAGAGAGGCCATTGTCCATGCCTCTCACCTTCCCATGTCAGTCATCATCGTCGGGGTGGGCAACGCTGATTTTAGTGACATGCAGATGCTGGATGGTGATGATGGGATCCTGAGGTCTCCCAAGGGCGAGCCTGTGCTTCGAGACATTGTCCAGTTTGTGCCATTTAGGAACTTCAAACATGTAAGCTGCCTTTTCCATGCATTTTGCAGAAGGATGAATGTATGTAACACAGAGTGAATGTTCCCTGGGGCTGGGCCTGACTTTGGGTGAGCATGAAGTGTTTAGAAAGTCTCTGGCATACTGTGTCAGAAATTGAGAAAATAGGGAATATAGAATGAAATGTGCTCGATTAGTGAGATGGTGAAGGATGGGGAAGGGAGAGATGGGGCCAAATTCATCTGCTGCTTGTGGTGCCAGTCCTTACTTTCACTTTCTCCCTGATTTTAGTTTGGTTGCCCTCCCTGACTTATTTTTTCCCAGTGCTTCTTTTCCATTCTCTTTGTATCTGTTCTATTAGGACAACTGTGTTCTGCTTTCCATCTCTTCATTTCCACAGGCAGCTGTGAATTTGTACCCACAGTGTACTCCACAGGAGGGTGTTTCCTTATTGAAATGTAGGTCCCTAAGTTCTCAAATGCAAGACTGTCCACCCACAGCATCCTGGTTGTCTTCAAACCCTTTCTCTAAATTTTATACAAGAACACAACCAAGAGAGTGGTGTTGCTAAGAGCTTTCCTGTGCCCTCAGCCAGCTGTTCCTGTCTGAGCTCAGCACGCTGTAGGAGGCACTCTGCAGAGGAGGAAGGGACAGACCCAGCATTAAATTGCCAGATTTTAAATATTTCCTTTGTCGCGTACTTTTCTCTTCATTCACATGCTTTTGGTTGCAGCACCTGTCCCAGAGACTTTTTCAGCAGCTGGGTAGAAAGAGAGTTCACCCATAGAAGGATCATTTCCACACACAGCTGGGTTTTTCACAGATTCACAGAATTATTGAGGCTGGAAAAGACCTCTGAGATCATAAAGTCCAACCTATGACCTATCACCACCACATTGGCTAGACCATGGCACTAAGTGCCATATTTAGCCCTTCCTTAAACATCTCCAGGGATGGTGACTCTACCACTTCCCTGGGAAGTTCATTCCAATGTCTAATCACCCTTTCCATGAGGAAGTGCTTCCTAATATCCAACCTAAACCACCCCTGGTGCAGCTTCAGGCTGTGCCCTCTCATCCTGTCACTTGTTGCCTACAACCTACTACAACGTCCCTACAGGTTATGGTAGAGAGTGATAAGGTCCCCCTTGAGTCTCCTCAACTCCAGGCTAAGCAACCCCAGCTCCCTCAGCCTGTCGTTGTAAGACTAGTCCCTTCACCAGCCTCATTTCTCTAAGGGTCCTTTTATTCCATATGGAGGCATGGAATGGCCACCGTGTTCCTCTGTGATGCTGATCACATCCCTTTCCCTCTGTTTTTCCATCTTTCTCTCCCTTCCTTCCCTTCGTTCCTTCTGTTATATTTAAGTGCTTATTGAGGCTGTTTTTTTCCTCACCTCAGTGTCTAGGAAGGATATCCTTGGTATTTGATTTGAAAATGTCTTTACCCCACTTATTTTCCTCATGAGATTGCCTTTGCCAATCTGTTCCCATACACCACGGATGCTTAGAACTGGATATGTCACCCAGAAGTTTTCAATTCTGGGTTGGTTTTGGTCTGCATATGAGTTTGCAGTTTCTTTTGTTTTTCCTGGCTTTTTGTTACCACAGGAGACATTTTTTCCTTCATTTTATTTTCCTCTTCTAAAGAGTTGTTCTTTTTTCTCACTTCAAAATACAATTTTGTCTTAGATCTAGATGTTGTCTTAGACCATATTTGTCTTAGCTCTAGATGCACTTTCACAAACTCCACTGAGGAATAAGAGAAATAAATTTGTTCCTCTTTTCCCTCTGCCTTTGTGCACACAATGGATCCTCATAGGAGGGAATTACAACTCACCTTTGCTATCAGTTTGGTGACATTATGCCAAATGGCTTCAGATTTGCCACTAAATTGTAGCTGCATACATTTCTATGGTGACAGTGCCATTCAGTCACCTATCTGCTGGAAAAAAAGTATGAGCACAACAGCTCATAGCTCGTGATTCAACTTCATCAAATAATCACAAGTGTGTAGTGGTGCACTGTAGTCTATTGTAAAAGTGTTGAGGGACAAGTTATTTATGGGCTAGTGCTAGACCTACTTTCAATTAGTTGAAAACATGTTTCTGCAAGGAACTGCGTTTGTTATTTTTAGTTTGTTATTTTTAGTTTCATTTTGTGATTTTATAACTAAGTTGAAATCATCCTTGATTTAATAGATTAATGCTGACAGTGGCAGTTCTGGGCACTGAGTATGTTGTGCCTCTGGTGTTAACTTCTGAGCGAGTCTATGTGAGATTTTAATTGCCGGCATTGATCAAAGGACATGCATATATTATTTTTAGCTGGTTTAGATTAATTTCCCCAGTATTGGTAAAGGATAGCAATCTTAAAAATGTGTTGCTCTTGTTTAATAGCAATATTTTTCTCCCCCCTTCTCTCAGTAGCAGAGATAACATAGAGATAGATGATGTATTTCCTGTATCAGAAAAGTCAGTCTTTTTTATGCAACTTCTTATTTACTGATCTTTCAGTGTTTCAAAAAAAAGTCAGTGCACTGGATGAGTGCCCATAACAACAGGCACTTCTGGGTGAATTTCTTTATTGTCGTATCCCAAATATCTCTCTCTCAGAACAAAGTGACATTCACTTGCTTACTTATCCTCAGCACAAACAAAAGACCATGCCTCTTGCATCAACTAGTCAAATAATTTTTAGAGGGAAAAATTATTCAAACTTCTTTTTCCCCATAGAGAAATGAGGATTTAACACACTTGGGAGATTTTTGTCAGATCAGTTCTAATCAAACACAAGGATTACCATAAATCAGCATATTACATTCGACAGCTTTAAGTAAAAGATGTATTTAGTTAATAATCATATCCCTTTTATCAGTGTACCTTGTGTTTAGTTTTGATATTTAGGTTGTTCAACTATTAAAGTAGGAAAAAATGCTGAAGGATCTTTTTAGAAAGACTACAAATCAAGTTGTATAAGGTTCATAGGGATTTTTGAGAAATCAAGTATTTATTTCTGCCTAAATCTATACTAGTGATGTAGAGAGGGAAGAAAATGGTTTTTTGTGAGCAATTATTTTTTGTTTTGCAGGAAAAATAAATCAAAATTCATTTGGAATCAACCCAAACTTTTTTTTTTTTTTTCATTACTTCAATTCTTACATCAGCTTGGAACTCCAAATTTCATATCTATCCAAAGAGATCAAAAATAATCTATCCAAAAGCAGCCACTGTGAGAAAACTGAAAGAAGGGAGAAGGAAGTTGTAAAAATAACCTGTCAAGTGAATCCCTTTTATTTTATGTTTGACTTTGGAGAAGGTTCTGATCCTGCATAGTGCTCATACAAGCAGCTAACACACTGCAATTAGTGACAATTATTCACATACCTAAAATCTCATGCTACTTGAATGTTTTACTGGGTAAAGACCCAATGTAGACAGAAAGCTTTATTACAGTGGTTTCATTTTCTACATAATGTAGTGTATCAGCAGTGCTTCAGTAAAGTATCTTACCTTTTTGACTCTCTCTTTAAGGAATATCTTTGAAGCTATCAAAATAATAATAATAATTGTAGTGATTCTTGGCAAATCCTGTAGTTGAAGAGGCTTGATAAAATCAAGGTAATCATTACTGCTTAAAAAAATGTCCCACTGGATGGTGGGTGGCATGTGCAATTCACTACAGGAGAACATAACAAACAAAGGGAACATATTTTCCCTGAACCTAAGTGAATTTCTTTTCTCTGTAACAATCACCATCCTAGCAATGTGAGTGTCCTTCACCTGAAACTGTAGAACAGTAATGCTCACAATCACTGAAATGTAGTTGAAGAAAATCACCTGTCTCAACCCACTCACAGTCATATTTTAAGAGCTGAAATTCTGTGCCTTTAGGATGCATGATATATTTGCTGTGCACAAATCTGATGCCACAGGTACATTGTATTCCACTCTGCATTGTATTTAATCACAAGGGCTAACAACTGTGACTTAATGACACATTTATCACCAATGAGTGTGGAAAGCACAGCTCTTAACCAATGCAAGGAGCAATGTTTTGCACTATGCATTGTAATTAAAGATTAAGCATGGTGATGCTATAGAACTGAATCAACAATCATTTTTAATGTACACCAATTATCATCACAGGGAATTATCTTCCTGCTGCTGGATGATTAAGTTGTTGTGTACTGTTGAGAACTATTCATATTGAGGTGTTTATTGCTAGGATGCTCTTCAAGCATAGCAGCTAAACAGCAAAGAAAAGGTTACAGTAAGACATTAATCTACCACCTGTGTTAAAAACCCAGCACAGGTAACCCTTAGACAGTACTGATGAACTGGGGCTGGTGTTTAGCTCAGAAGTTACTGGGTCTGATTCTTCCTTATACAAATGCTGCTTTGCACCAGCTGGTCTAGAAGTGGTGCTTGACCACCACAAAAATACTTGAGGTACAGGTGGCCCAAATCATCAGACAGGAAATCGCCCCTTAACCCTGGATTTGGGATGCGCTGTGCTGGAAAGAGCCACAGGACATCACCAGCATGATAAAACTCTGTAAAGCCACAGCTGTCCAAGCTCAGACTGGAGTGTGGAGCCAAGCCAGCTACCCCAGGCCACACGTTGCCTGTGAGCCCATGGGTACAGTAAGTGTGTTGGCTTAAACCTCAGTAAAAGGTTTTGTTTTGTTTTGTTTTTTTTACTTTACATGCATGCTGGGCAAGGAGCTCGTAGCTCAGTTGACTCCTCAAGCAGCAGTGAGTCAGCCACGCACGTGAGCCCTGACAGTGCCTGTTGTGAAGGGCTGACCCTTTGTTCAGGAAGAATGGATGTGGCATCAGAAGAGAGAGGAGCGGCCATGGAAGGATGATGCAGAGATGAGCGTTGGCCCAATGTTCAGGCACATGAACTACACATGATCCAGAGAAGCTGGGGGCAAGTGCTCCTGTCCATCGTTTTTAAAGATAGAGCAGAGTGAACTTCCCTGATTGCCAGGGCTTGTGTGTGCTGTGATGTAAATCCCCACTCCCTGTTTTTACCCTTTATGTAAGCTAAGATGGCACAGAGGCAGCCTAAGTTATACACAGCTTTGTCACACTGAGATTTAAAGAAACCAAACAATAATTTTCTGCAGCAACATAGAAATCAGCCATTAGCCTGACTCCAAGGGGTATTTTTCTGGCTGATTTAAGAGCAAACAGGTTTAGGCAAGAACAGGGAAACTGTGGAAAACCATGCTTTTCACTATGAAGGATTAAAATAAATGAGTGGTTTTACTGTGTAACACCTGAGAACAGTTGTTGTGCTGTCACATAAAGTAAGGGCTCTGCTTTGCCAGTTTGTTCATGCTGAAATGTTCCAGGCTTTTTCAGCTGCACAAATATTTTGG